AGTGTTCAGAAGTATTAACAGTGCAGTTTACTGCAAACAAAGTCATGGCATTTTCCAGCTGCCACGAATCTGCCCACAATTCAGGTTCTACAGCACTGAAGCACCATGATAGCATTGATAAGGCTTCTTGGAAAGTCTATGCTGCTGGAGCCTTTAAAAAAATGAAAGGCAGGCTTTAGAAACTCATCTCTGCTGTGATACCTATCAAACCACTGTTGAATATTATCATAACAGGTGTTGCTGTGACACTGTTACTCTCAGAATCATCTCATCATTTTCTGGTGATCAACAATTATCTATCCTCTTTGACCAAGCCCTGGTTTATACACAGATTTTGTACCAGTCTAACCATGATGAATTGTTGGCTAGGAGATCTGACTCTTTTTTCAATCAATGTAACATGGCCACTCTAGGATGACAGCCACTCGATTCCTGCCCCCATTCTGGCTCCTCAGGGTACCCTCCCTTCTTCCTTGCCTGCCATTCCTTGATATAATCATTTCTAGTGTGAAAGGGAGGCTTCCTCGGGGTCCCAGAGTGAGCCCAGTTCATCTCCACCTTGCCTCTTGGACACTCAATCCCGACTCTCCAGCTCCTGTTGTGGTCTCAGTCCACCCCTATAGCCATGCCCATGCCTTGCAGATGTCATCCCAGATCCACGCACCAGCTTGAACAGGCTTCAACCCTCTTGGCTTTAGCCTGCTGGTTACTCTCACTGTGGACTGCTAGCCTGGGCCCACTTCTTCTGGCCTGGCTTCTGAGTCTCAACCTGGTCTGGCCCTCGGCCCATCATGTTCTGTTTCAGCCTTTGGACCTCTTTTTCAGCCCTCAGCTTAGGTCCGCCTCTGTGTTGCTGTTGGGGCTCAGGCCCTGGCCCCCTCAGCTGGAGCCCACCCCCATCTCACCCTTGGGGTACAGGTTCTGCCTTTCTTGGCTAGGGCCCACTCCAGATAGGTCTCCAAACCTGCAGCCTCCACTCCTTCCCTCCAGCCACTAGTCACTCCTCCAGTTAACAATGCAAGCAAAATGCTTTAAATAAAACATTCAAAGCTCTCTCTGGGTTACCAGGCCACTGCAGAAGACTCTTCCTCACTCCTCGGCGCTCTCTGAGCCCCTGGGGTACCTGCTCTGGCCCTCAGCTTCCACCCCTGGCCTTGCTTCCCTTGCTGGCAGGAGCTCTCCTCCATGCAGAGTTCAGGGCTGTACCATGCCTCTGGGCCCCTTGTGTCCCCTGCAGGTGTTTCTTTCTCAATCTTTTCTCCCTTAAGCAGGAGCCTCTGGCTCCCTATTACACACTGCTACAATCTTCGGTGTGCGTGCATTTGTCCCAGAATGACAGTGCCATGTGCCAATAGGCTTCATTCCATTTCCCAGACAGGAATAGCTGTACCTGTAAAGCACCTTTGCCCTGGTAAAACTGTACCCATTCTTGGGGGTGGCTGCCGTCTTTGAGCTATAGCAGGATATTGAAAGCAACCCAACTTCTGTGTCAGGAGGGCTTTAGGTTGTAAGATCCTTGAGGCAGGGGTTGTCTCTTTGTTTCATGTTTGTGCACAGCCTGGCACAAGGGATCATGGCCTGTACTGCAGTACAAAGGAGTAATGATTGATAATATTAATCCTACAGGTTCTCAACCTGCTCCTACTCTGTTTCTCTGCCTCACATGCCAGCACTGAAGGTTTCTCTCAGTGCTCATGTATCTCCAAGTCTTTGCTTCAGACTCTTGCTGGGTCCCTGTGTCCTTCTCTGTTTCTGCTGCTAAGCTGGAGTGGGTGAGGGGTCCCAAGGTTTCTGAGTGCTAAATGAGTGGATCTGCATCGCACAAATGTTTTTTTACTACCATGAGGCCAGCGGGCAGCAAATGGCAAAGCAAACCTGAGCCCATGCCAGAGCAGTTCAGCGCAGGATTATTTCATGCCCTTAACCAGAGCTATCATTGGTACAGTGAGTGATTCCTACCGTGTCTGGCAGTAACTGTAGCTACTCAGGAGACCTTGTGGAGGGCTTCCGCAGAGAGCTGGCAGTGAGTATGAAAGGCATCTCAGTGACCACAGCCGCAGGTTAGGAAAGGTGATGTAGCAAAATCTTATCAGTAATTTCCCTGGGTTTTAAACTGTGTCATATGGGATAAAAAGAACCCATGTAGCCACTAAATGGGAAGAAACAAACAACTCTGCATTAGTATTATTAGTTGAAGCTGAAATCCATGACCTGAATGCCAGGACAGCACCAGTGTCTAGAGTTAGGTGTGGTGTGCACAGTGTCAAGTAGGTTTCTCACTACCTGCTCTATCCATGCCACCTACCCCTGCCCTGTTGTTCTAGCATGGACCAGCTCAGTCCATCCCATCTGGCAGCACCCACTGCTGTTCAAGGGCTGGAGCGCCATGCACATGCAGTGATGCCAGCAGACCCCACCTCACCCCCGTATGGTCATTGTCCTGAGTTGGTGACCAGGTGGTGTTTTACCATGAAAAAAAAAGGATGAAGCCATCCCTCTGGCTTTACCACATGATCATTTATGAAGAAGAGGGTTGTGGAGGCTGGAAAGACAGCAGTTTATAGCTGGCAGTGGGAATTAAAGTACTATTCTCAGATCTGGGGCATGGTTTCTACACAGCGAAAGGAGCTGCTTTCTACCTGGGCAGCTCATGTTCCACCAGAGCTTGTTAGTTTTGTCTGCTTTGCCTCATGCTAGATATGCCCATTCCTCTGTGCCAGCCTGGCTACGTTACTGTGTTCCCCATTGTTCTTCCATGGTCATTGCCAGGTCCTGTTACTATTGCTTGTTATTAACCTCCCTCTTCCTTCTGCTTTCAGGTTTTCCTCCATGGAGTGAATGAGCCTCTAGAAAAGTCTCAAGGTCCCCTTATAGCTGTTGCTAGAGTTGTGAACAACTTGAACGCATACAAGTGAGTTAGGGGCCAAAGGAAATGGATACCCAGTGCAGAGGCAGAAAAGGATCTTGGAGTCATTATTGATGCCAAAATGAACATGGGCCGACAGCGTGGGGACGCTGTCAGGAAGGCCAGCCACACCTTGTCATGCATCCACAGGTGCATCTCAAGCAGGTCCAAGGAGGTGATCCTCCCCCTCTATGCGGCACTGGTCAGGCCGCAGTTGGAGTACTGCATCCAGTTCTGGGCGCCGCACTTCAGGAGGGATGTGGACAGCATCGAGAGGGTCCAGAGGAGGGCCACCCACATGATCAGGGGGCAGCAGGGCAGGCCCTACAAGCAGAGGCTAAGGGACCTGAACCTGTTCAGCCTTCACAAGAGAAAGCTGAGGGGGGACCTGGTGGCCATTTACAAACTAGTCAGGGGGAACCAGCAGGCATTGGGGGAGTCCCTGTTCCCCCGAACGCTACCAGGAGTGACAAGAAATAACGGTCACAAGCTGGCAGAGGGTAGATTCAGGCTAGACATCAGGAGGTGCGACTTCACTGTCAGGACGGCTAGGACCTGGAACCAACTTCCAAGAGAAGTGGTGCTGGCTCCTACCCTGGGGGTCTTTAAGAGGAGGCTGGATGAACACCTTGCCAGGGTTGTTTGACCCCAGTACTCTTTCCTGCCATGGCAGGGGGTCGAACTTTATGATCTGCTCAGGTCCCTTCCGACCCTACCAACTATGAAACTATACCTCAGGAGCAAAAGGGGTCCAGTAGCTGCGAACACAGAAGTGAGGATATAGTCCATAGAGCAGTTCAAAGTGGCTAGTACTGTGTCGTACGAAGGGGATCTTGGCTCTGTGTGGAAGCAGCCAGTGTAAGGCACATTCCACGCTGAAAATTGACTATGAAAATGGCTGTGCACCTCCATATTAATGGCCCCTACTTGGTTCGTTCCCAGTAGTGTGAGTTCAAGCCCTGCTCTGGACTTATGCCAAAGGCTGCCCTCATTTGACACAGCTTTAAATGTAAATTCAGGCCAGGGGGTATAGGGCAGCTGACTGTGCTACTAGCCACATCACCCCCTTGTGTGCTGTTAGGTATAGAAATTCATGTGCCATAACCATGCTAGCCCAGTCAGCTTCTAGGCTCAGGTGGCTACGGCTGAAGTGCATTGTGATGGGAAAGCCTTGCGGGCAGGGGTAGATTGCCCATACCTGTAGCATATCTGCTCTGTGGATCATACCAGAGCAAGTAGTGAAGGTCTCTTTGGGTTAGCAGATAGAGCTCTAATGAGATCCAGTGGCTGGCAGGTGAAGAAAGGAGGATTTTGACTAGAAATAGGCATCATCTAACAGTGAGGAGAATTAGCTGTTGGGACAATTTAGCACAGCTGTGGTAGCTTGTCCATCCCTAGGAGTTTCTCAGTCCAGCTTGGATGCCTGTGCTCAAGGTCAGCCTATTTTGGACACTTTAAAGAACTCCAAACCCCTATGTGTTGCATTAGATCACAGTGAATAAACACAGGAATTCAATCTCCACCATTGTTGCTTGGCACTTCTGAATTCAGGGACTGACCCTCTGCTCCTGTTCCTTCCCATCACAGAAGGATCATGAGGATGCGGCCCCCTGCCTCTCCTGTGGTTGATCTAACCGCCATCAGGTTCCCAAACCCATCGCTAGTGGACTTTGATGCTCCTCGAGTCACCAACCGCGGATTCCCACAGGTAAATGTGTAGTGTGTCTGTAAGGGTGCAGGTTCCCATGGGGCTGGGGAAGTGAGCCAGGTGCTACAATCAGAGACAGAAAGCCAAGATGCTTTTCTTTCGAGGAGGGTGTTTATCTGAGCAGATGCTGAAGGCAGCGTTTCATGAAGGTTGCAAATGGAATCAGTGCTGATAACATATTTGCTCCTCCTCTTGTCCCATCTTTGTGTTGGCTATCAGCCTGTTTGCTACTTTGTGCTTGTTCCCACCTCAGCAAACCTATACCTATGACCCCTACCCCCAGGCTGAGCTTCACCTGACAGAGACTGGAATTAAGGGCTGACTAGCAAGAGTATGTATGTAGCTGTTGTAATTCTACTTGCCAGACATCTAGGGTGTTTATAGATGTGCTCCCAGGAGGTGTGGGGGAGAGTGAGTGTGCTTTAATTAGCAAACCATGCTAATTAAAAGCTCCTGAGCATCACATGTATTCAGTGTCCCCATGCTGAAAAATGGCCGTGAGGCACTTTGAACTAAAGCTCATTGAACGAGCTACAGTTTAAAGCACCCCACTGCCATTTTTCAACACAGGGAAGCTGATGCACATGACGCTGGAGGCTGCTGGAGCGCACTAACTTCCATGCTTCAGCAGACTTGCTTAATTGAGTCTGCTCCAATGCACTGGATTTACAGCACATCAGAGCAGGCTCGCTGCATATCTGTAGGAGCCCCTAATTTCCATTTCTTTATCAGTGTTAGTAAGGCACAGAATAGAGTGACTCTTGTCTCCCTCTTCCCTTTACCTTTTCTTTTCCCCCTACCATCCCCAAATTATTATTACTGGTGAGTTTCTTTCCTTACTGGAGAGGCTAGAGATTGTAATCAGTGCTTCCTCAGAGACACCAAACCTCTACCATCATAGCAGGCCTGAGGTTGCTGCACATTGTTTGCTGGGTGCTTTTCACTTGGCACAGGGAGACAGTGCTGACAAACTATCCATTTTCTCTGTGGTTAAAATTCCCCCTTATGCAAAGGATGGGCACAAGATCTATAGATGCCTTCAAAGCAGTGGTTCTCAACCTTTTTTTGTACCAGGACCCATTTGTAAACATTGATGGCCAGCCATGACCCATAGACCCCTGGCCCTGCCGGCACCCCTCAGTCCTGACCCACAGCACACTGTCCTTGCTGGTGCCCCTCACTCCCAAGCCACAGATCCCTGGCTCTGCCGGTGTCCTCACTCCCAACCCACAGTCTCCTGCCTTCCCCCCAGGCCATACTGGTGCCCCTCAGTCCCAACATGCAACCCCCTGCCTCCCTCATGGAGGGGGCCCCCATCTGCCTCTGTCCTGCTTGGGTGGGAGTGCGGTGGCTACAGGGCTCTGGCTCATGTGGGCAGCAGCGGAGTGAGTCTGACCCCTGCATGGGCTGGAGGGAGGAGGAGGGGAGACCTGTGGCACCTCCCTGCCCTGGGCTGGAGCTCCTGCAACACATCAGGCAGGCAGCTTGGTCACGGCCCCTTCTGGCCCCCTGAGCAGCGTCTCCTGGGCACCGGCTCTGGTGCCACTGGCCCAGCCACGCAGCTCTCTGCTGCACACCTGGACAGTCCCCAGGCCCTGGCCCTCCAACCCCAACTCCCCATACACTTACCTGCATCCAGCTGCTGAAGTTGCTCCCATGACCTTGCCTGGCTGCATGCATGTGCACACGCAGACACATGTGCACCCACTGCTTTCAGTCACCCCAAGCAGCTCCTTGCAGGGTGAAATGCTGCCAGCCTGCAAGGGAAAACCCATGCTTTCTCGCATTTTTCTGGGACTTGCTTGCGTCTTTTTCATATATTTTTGCAACCTACTTTTGGGTTGAGAAACACTGCTTTAGAGCCACATAACTCCACAGAGCCAGGTTTTAAAAAAAAATCATTCAACTGCCCTTTAAATGCTAAAATTAACATCTGGGTTTTTTTTAAGATCTCAGCCCTTGGGCGTGCCCTGTTATGACTTGAATAGCTAATATTTTAACGGCATTTGAAAATGCTCAAAGGAGTCAACAGGACATGTCTTCAAACACTCAGCTTGCAAAAAAAGAACTTTCTTTCTTTTTCCTGTTTTTCTTCTCTGTCCAATATATTGAATTTTAATTGTGTTTTAGAACATAATGAGGAGCGAATACATTGTATCGACACATTCCAGGGAGACTACCAATAAAATATTACTTGGGGGAAGCCAGCCAAATGCAAAAGTACCCGCTAGGTGATGAACCATTATAAAAATCACCGGTGCATTTCATTCCATAAAATAATTGGTTTTTCTGCCTCAATTTTTAAAGTTAATTTTATACTGTTAAAAGGGGCTGGTCTTGGCAGCCCAGGGGCTGGCAGTCTGTTTATCCAGGGATGCTGTAGAAGGGAAGAAACATGGGCCTGTACTAAGGGGCTGCCGACAGACGTGAAAAAGAAAAAGAAGTGTTTTACCAGAAGAAGCAGCACGCTAGTTCAACCCAGCTCCACAGCATCTGTGTAAATCGGGTCTTGTATAGCTCTAAAGCCGATTCAGTTTAGCTATTTGATAAAGGTGCCAAAAAAGCCCTGCTGAAGCACCTGATCGATATAGATGTTGGGTGAGCTGACGTGATGACTTCTGGGCATGCGCTGGGCTTGGCTCGGGGGCACAAGTTTAAAGTAAAGTGTTGAAGGTGTTTTTTGTTTTTTTTAACATCTGCAAACAGTCATAGTGGTCAGCCTGAGTTCAAATCCTTGTTCTGATACAGGCAGGGCAAGCACAGTACAACGTTTGGGTGCTAATTTTAGAGGGGCGCCAAAATGATGGTGAAAACCAGCAGGTGGCAATCTCTGGCCAGGGGCAGGATAGGGTGCTGGTGCCTCCCCACCTCCTGCCCCACTTTCCAACACTCAGCATCTCTGCCTAGGGCACCAACATTACTAGTTATACCTCTGTACTATGGACTCTGTGTGAGGTCTTGAGCATGCCACTTATATTCTCCCTCTGCTTCACTGACCCTCTGTAAAATGGGGATACTAGCTCTGCCCTGCCTCATAGGGGCAGTTGGGAAGAGAAATCTGTTGTGAGGAGAAATATGTTAAAGTCAGGTATTATGGTAACGGCGACCAGATGCGTAGCTTAGATAGAGGAAAGCCATGTGTTTTAGGTGTGATTTATATTGTGTTTGTGTAATAACAGCAAAAAGTTTTGCCTTGATTTCTCTGCTGGCATGGTCCACTGCATAAGTGACTCTCTGAGATAAGGGCACTGTCCCACTGGGACCTGAACCGACTGCCCCTGATTCATGTTACACAGCCTCTCAGGCATGTGTTTTATTCACTCCCATACTGGACTGAGATCAGTCTACCTCTGGGTGCAGTTCCTAATCCCTTGTGCCCTTCTCTCACTTCTACCTGTCTCCCTGCAGCATGTGTTAAACTTTTTACCTTCAGCTATAGCACCTTTTCCACAAAGAAAAGCTGTGTTAAAAGTCATAGTATAGACAGGGTGCAGGTCTTCTAGATGGACTCAGAAGAGGTCTAAATAACGTGGTGGTTGAAGCATTCATAACTCCCAGTGAGCACTTATACTGTGACCCTGGACTAGTTAACTGCACCAGTGGCTCACAGAAGAATGAGGCAGTAGCAATTAACTTGGGAGACCTGGGTTCAAGCTCCTGTCCTGCCCAAGACTTTTCTTGTTTTTGGTTACCCACAATTGTACAGGGGATGCTTAGATACCCTGGTAATAAGAGCTATATAGGTGTCTGATTCAGATCCTAGGAAAGCCTAACACAGTTTGGGGCTGTCCAGCTGGCCTGCAAAGGGTTAAATTGTGGCCTCCAGGCTCCACCTCTTACCCCATTGCACCAGCTGCAGAAGCAACTGGTTTCTTTGGCCGCCCTCTTCCCCTGGCTTCTCCTTCCTCGCCCCAGGGTACAAGGCAATGCATGGCCCAGCCTGCAATGCTGAGGAAGCCGATGGCCCCAAGGTGCCTGAGAGGTGCGGGGCAGCAGGGAAGATATGCCTGGGGAAGCAGGGGGTGCCTGGGTACCAGTGTGTGCATCTCAGCAGGGAGTGGGAGCACAGGGGCATGTGGTGCAACAGGGAGGGCATGTTTTGTGCATCTCTGGGGATCCACAACCCTTGTTGGTCATGCGGGACATGTGGCCCCTGGCTGCTTAGAACAGCCCTGAAGTAGCCAAAGGATCTCCCCATCCAGAGCAATGTTGCTGCTCCCCTTTAATGTACACGAGGCAGCCAAAAATCATTTTCTTCACATTTGTGCAAATAAATGAATCCCTCCATGAGAGTGACCTGAGAACCAGCTCACCAGGGAGGTCTGACAGCCAAGGTCTATAAACCTCTGGCAATGCTGGCTCATGAGGGGAATACTGACAGCTCTTTGGGGGGGGGGGGGGTATGGTGCCAGGGGGCACCGAGAGGAGGGTGTGAGCAGAATGCAGTACTGGAAATGATTACATGCAGCCATCTGGTCTGATCAACCCCTCCCTTCCTTCTCTTCTGTTCGCACATGTCACTGTTTGCCTTTGCCCTATGCTTTGGAGAAAGACCATCTTAGAACCAAAGACAGCTTTTGTTTCTCCCTCTCAGCAAGCTGTGCTGATTCTCCCGTCCCACTCTGGGGTTGTTTTGAAGTGGAGGAGGCATCATGGTTTCACTTCCCCCAGGCAGAGCAAGGGGCTGGAAGAAGGGGAGAGAATCTGCCCCAATATGGGGACAAGGGATGATGAAAGCACTACCAAGAATATTCACACTGGAAAACTTATGCTATGAGTTGTGCTTATAATGTTTCACAACACGCATGCACATGTACACACCATGCATTTCCATCACCAAAACAGAGTTCTCTACCACTTGAGCTGAAATAGATACTGCATTATCTGATAGCAGTAGCAAACTTTTATCCTCTGTGTAGACATGAGGCACATCTACATGTCACCCTATGGCGACATAGCAATGCACTACATTGCCATACGGCATGCTACAGCAACATAGT